TAAATATAGTTGGAAAGTGCCGCTTTTCTATCGCAAATGTGCCGAATCTGCTGATGTAATTACAACTGCTAACGATAGAGAAGGGGAGGGGGAGGCCGGGGGAGAGCTGAGCTCTCGTGCCTCTGTTGGTAAAAAAAAATTAGCCAATCAGCATCGAGTGTTCACTTTCAGCACTGAGGAGTGTTGAGAAAAGAAACCTGGTAAGGGAGGCTAGCCTCCCATCTGATATCAACCAATCATCATAGAGACGTAAATTACGTGATATTAGTTTGAACGTCTGCCGCTGCGCTGATAATGTACCACGTACTTATGATGAGCAGCGATATTGAATATTTGATTGCCAACAGATTTATCAAGCTGTCATTTAAACAGTATATATACAAATTTAGGGTAAACAGCCTAAGCTAGATATAGGCTAACGTTACAGCAGTCGGCTTAATTAAATGGCGCAACAGCCAGCTCTCTTTTAATACAGACTTTTAAGAAGGGATGGATGTTTGCTTCAAGTGATAGGCCAGGTAAGTGAAATTATATTATCTTCCTGTATGTATATCGTTTTCTTTACGTTTTCTGACTAAAAGCAACCAAAAAGCCATTTTAAAGTGGTTAAGCAAATAATAATATTAATAATAATAATAATCGGCAGGGATCCCTGACCAATACAATTAGTGTGCCTCCTCTATTTTAAAACCCACGAGCCGCCACTGGTTTTGTGGTCCAGGGTCCATAAATACACACACACATTATCAATATTTTATCAATATAATCACTCTTTCTGCAATAAAAAATAAATGTAGTCCTATAGGTGGACTTGTGTAATCTTAGTAAGTAGATAGATAGATAGATAGATAGATAGAACTAAACTTTTCACAGTATAATGTCGGTAATACTGCATTTCTATGGCACTCCTGCGCAGTTTCTAAGGTATCCTTGTACTTTTTTAACAATGTTGCTATGTGTGCTGAAACAGAAATGGGGACAAAAACACGTAAACACCTCCAGCAAGCTCTGCCGAAAACAATCTCTCTGTTGAGTGTGAGTGTGCTGTTGTTGTTGTTGAACAGTGTAGCTCGTTTAGTATAAATCTGGGTATAATCTCGTCGTTGTTTTCCTAAATCCTCCGTGAACGCGGTAATGACGTCACACTTACCTGATTAACATATTTCGGCACCTCTTGAACAGTCGCGAATGATGATTCATTAGGAGTCATCAGACTGAACAGCATACGAACCCCCTGAGAAACAGTCACATTGTTTACTTCCACTTGCGCCATTGCGTTTGTAAATGTGCTCAAATAAAATAAAAAATGAGACTACAGTATAGATCAGTGGCTCCTCGCACTGCCGGATTAAACAGATGGGCGTTTATGAACACCTACAAGAGTCTGGACCTTTGAACTTCACTGTAAAGCCGCCATGAAGAGAGATGTCGTGATCACATGACACACGACAAGAACTTGATCATAAACTATAGCTAAATCGACCTATAGGCCTACTTTTATTTTTATTGCAGAAAGGCATAGCAAACTGAGCAATTAGATAAATATAGATAATATATAGAATAGAATAGACACAATCATATTCATACTTTTTGCATAATTTCACAAAATTACTAGGCTAGATGACAACACGCAATACAATGTTGACCTTGATTCCTCTTAGTTTTCTTCACACATTACCTATCCCATCTCAAGTATGCTTTAAGTAGCCTATACATTAATCAAGTATGGCTACAGTTTCTTTTTTTATGGGACTTAATTTTTTTAAATAATGAGTACATGAACAATATAACCATGCATACATTTTTTAATCAAAATAAGTAAATGAATAGATAAATAAATACATTTGCAAGGGACAATAAACAATACTGTATACAAAGACATTAAAGGACATTCAGTACCTGTACAATATGAAATATTGGAAAAGCTTGTAGTGTCTGCTGCTGTTTTTGGCTTGGACTATATTTAAAACAATGTAGCTTTTCCTGTCCAGGAGAAAGAACCTAAGAAGTCAAAGGGCAGTAAAAGGCTTCGATGTGAAACAGAGAGTAGCATGACTTTGTGTGTGACCTCTCTATTCCATTGTGCAGGAAGTTCCAGAAATCTCCTTGGTGATACGAAAACATTCAAACAAAATATCTTTTTGTGGTTTCTTCCGTCAAAAGCAGTTGAAGCTACAACTGATTCTTTTGGCAGGACCCTCAGAATCTCTGGTCCTGGTGGGCAAAGGTTTCTTGATTCTCCTGGCTTGCATTACGAATTAGAATGCAGGCTCACTCTGTGGCGACAGCGAGAACGGACCATAACAATATTTCAGACCTGATTTTGTAATAGAATATGATCCGTTTGCTCACCTACCTCTCAGAATTAAGGCAGAAGTCCTGATCCTGCCTGGAGGAGAAGCTGCATTTAGCATATTCCCCTGCCCCTTCCTTAATAACTTATTCATGTAAGCTCCTCGCTCAGCCTTAGCATATATTCATCTCATAATCATGGTGATGAGTCGCAGACCCTCACTGGATTTCTCTATAAAAACATTCAGCTTAAGGCGTGAAGGTGCTGAGGGTCAGAAAAATGGTCTTGATGGATTAGACTCGCAGCTGAATACACAACAACGGTTGTGTATCAGTGCAGAAGGTCCAGTCCAATTACGTGCAATTAAGGCCCAGAATTTCAGCTTCTGTAAGGAGGTCCCTATTGCTCAGCTTCAGCATAAAAGTAGATGCAAAGTGACTCAACACAAATTCTAACTACTACTTAACATCTTTCAAGATTACTCACTACCAAAGGCAGATGTCTTCACATTAAATTAAAATATTCATGTTAAGATTATCAATTTATCATAACTTAAAATGCATGTTTTAAGAAAACGGTGTTGGAATCAGTAGACGGAACTTATAAGATTTCAATAATCAGATACAGGCAGCAAGGCTCAACAATAAGAATGTGTTTTCTACTTGCTCAGCCAGACCACAATTTTATATTTCAGTATTCTTTTGAAATCAATTTTAATTTACCCATATAATTTTGAATGTCTAATTTTAAGTGTATCAAATGTATAATTGTAAATATATACATAATAGTGTATATAAATGTATATTTTACATTATTTAATACATTTAATATTATTATTAATTTTTAAAAAATATTATTTATTCATTTTTCAATGTAAGCCTGTTTCTGCCACGAAATAAAAAAGTAAATAAATAAAAAGGTAACTGCGACTTTTGATCTCACAATTTAGACTTTCTTCTCAAAATTGCAAGATATAAACTTTCTCATAATTTTGAGTTTGTTTCTGCCATGAAATAAAAGATAAAAAATGTAATTTTTAGCTCACAATTTCGACTTTCTTTCTTGCAATTTATATCTCACAATTCTGACTTTTCTTCTCAGAATTGTGCATTTGTATCCCGCAATTCAGACGTGAAAAGTCAGAATTGTGCAATATAAATTTGCATTTAACTTTTTTATATTTTTATCCCATAGTGTGGGGTTTTATATTTTCTTATCCCAAAACGTCCTATAAAACCAAATCCCACAGTTCAACCCATTCTTACCAATGCTACTAAAATAAATAAATAAATAAATCACAAAAGTCACAACCAAAATGTCCTAGAAAACCAAATGGGTGGCAATTCTATCAGCTGGCCTGAAACTGTAGGCAAAAGCTTCAAATCCTTCTTGAAGCAGTGTCTTTCATTAGCTGACCTCAAAGAAAGATTCATTCAAAAAAAAATCAAACCAAGCAACATACGAAAAGTTTATTGTTGAAGCATGTGGTATTGTGTGCACATGATACAGCTATCAGATTTTTGAAAAATATGAATACTTATTATATTTACATGACATAAGATCATCTGAAATGTTTTTGAAGGCACGCTTGATTGATCATTATTCCGATGACATCAACATAGTACAAAAACATACAGTAGAAATCAATTAAGGCGCAGAAATTGACAGTGCAAACTAAAACTTACACCTTTTCAGTGCAAGATCTGAATGGAATGTTGTTGGGCCAGATTGGACTGCTAGATTCTGTCTTTCAAGTAAAGAGCAGTAGAAGGGTACTTTAAAGGTGCTGTAAGTGATTATTTTATGGAATAGCATGCAGAAAATATCCATGCGACCTGACAGAAGTCCCTAGGCTCTGTAAACAGCAACAAATCTGGGATGCTATTCGGCTTTGCTGACAGGCAGGATTTTAAAATGACTTACAGCACCTTTCAAACATGTTAACAAATTCTGTCAAACAAGCAAGGCACCTTTTTTTTGTGAAAATTGATGCCAGGGTATCACAGATATTCTGTATCATCCAAATGCACAACAATACATCAGTCCTGTGTACATTTTTACATTGTCACTACTCTTGAGGCGTCACAGGAACTGTCCTGATAGGCGTCGTGTTACGGTGCCTCCTCATTGGCACATATGGTCTTTGTGTACTTTCAGTCTGTACTTTCAGTCCGTACTTTCAGTCCGTACTTAACATAATCCCTAACTGAACATGACCCTAGATAAGCATCGAAAGGCGAATGGGATCTGTTTGTATCATAAGTGAGCGTGCTCAGAGCTCTGGTCGCTGTCGTGGCTGTCCTCATTGTTGATAAGCGTGTCCGGTGTATGGTGGAGTCCAGGAATTCCCGAAAACTCGAAGGGAAGCAGCGTTCCCTTCTTCACATTCACAAGCTCTTTTTCTCTTGCTACCGCCCCCAGTTGGCCTCCTTTAACTCTCTTCCACTTCATCCGTCTGTTCTGAAACCACACTTTTACCTAGTGGGAAAGAAAGACACATGAATTACCATGTTCTAATAATTGGCATCTACTGTATGGTTCCATGAAGAACCTTAAACATCCATGGAACCTTTCCATTCCACAAATGGTTCTTAATAGTGGGAAACGGTTATTAAAAAGTTCTTCACATTAAGAAAAACATGGTTATTTTAAAAACCGTTCCATGGAAGGTTCTTTGGGAACCCAAATTGGTGCTTAAATGGGGAAAAACATTTTGGAACTTTTTTTTTTTTTAAGAGCAATTTGTCTTCAGCAATTTAGTTTGTATGTTCGCTAGTTGGTGCAGATGATCTGTTTACTGTGGTTTTTTGGCAGAGCGATTGGAGAGGTGGATCAGGCCATGACTCACCAAACTCCAGTAAGCTAATATCCCTCGATCAGCTGCAAAAGAGCCATGCGATCAGTTGACCGCCCTGCTATTCTAAGGCATGATCCACAAAGTTTGGAATTGTGTTTCTCTGAAGAAGTTAGAAATATAACATGGCTTTCAATGCACGTATTTGGCAGCTATTTCCAGATCAGCAATATTTGGAGCCCATCTGTTTTGTGGCATCATACGTTTCCGTCTTTTCTTTGCGAGTTCAGTCAGAGCCAGTATTTACGTTTCCCAGAATGATGATTTAGCTGTTTCTTAAATGGTCACTGCAGTGCAAGTAAGGCTCGCTGGGGGACCGGGCCACCATACAGTAAAATTTATTTCTGGAGGGGTATAATGTTGTAGATAGTCACATGAAATGGACTGGAATTCTTCATACGCAATCAGACATGAGGAATACCAGGCTAAAATCAGCAAAATGATGTCATTTGAAGTATTTTTCCCAAATGGCTATCAATGGCTTTCAATGGCCAGTATACACTAAAATTTATTTATGGAGGGGTATAATGTTATAGATAGTCACAATGGACCAGAATTCTTCATACGCAATCAGACTTGAGGAATACCAGGCCCAAATCAATGTAAATTGAACTTTTTTTTTTTAAATGGTTATCAAACATGATGGTTAAGTTTAAAGGCACATTTTACTTTCAAATGACATACACAATGATTTGTTCAGCTAATGTTTCAAGACATGTTTCAAGTCTACTAGAACACTATTCAATTGGCCACCCAAGTTCAGCACTGTAAGACTGCACCCTTAAAATATATCTGCAACGTTTGCAATTCTTCTCTCAGCCTGAAAACATTGAGTATGCTACTGCTTACAGGTTAGTGCATGCATGTCATTAGACAAAAACAAACAAAATGCAAAAACTAGATATGCATTTTCTAAAAAATTTAAATAAAAAATACCATCAATTGCATAGCAGCATTGGGAAACAATTAAATTTTAAGTCTGGTTCAGTGTAAATGAAATCAGAGACACTCTGCAGTTGTCATAAAACTCGGCACACATCTTGACTTCTCTTGGTTGCATATGAGAATCAAAACAACACGACACTGTCTTTGCAGTGGCAAGACGGCCATATGGTTAAACCGATGCAAGAAAAAAAAAAAGTCAAGCATGCAAAAAAAAACAATCAGCATGACAATGAAATCATTGTTTTTGGTCAGGTTTTGAATGCTGAACATTCATAATGTCAACAGGAAGTCTGCACACTTTAATTTTTAATTGCTCAAAAATTAAACAGTTTAAAATATATATATGTAAATGTATGAATTATAATATCATAAATAAATAAAGTTTGAACACAGTTTGTGTGTTAAGCAGTTCATACTGAATTAATTGGAGTTTAATTCTTAAGGATCAGTATAAGTCTATGGGAATATTTCACACTTTAATTTAAAATTTATTTTAAAAAATGTTACAAATAAATAAAAATAAATAAAAATAATAGATATAAACTGCATAAATAAATAAATACAAGTTTGAACGGAATTTGCATGTTCAGACTGAATTAACCATAGAACTTCTATTCTAATCGTTGAGGAATATTAGATTTTAAAAGCTGAACCGTCTATCAATATGTCAATGGGAATCTTTCACAGTGATTTTACATTTCTTCAAAATGTAAAAAAAAAAATATATATATATATATATATATATGTATATATATATATAAATGTATTATTAATTATAAATAAAAAATAAGTTTGAATTCTTATGTTAAGTAGTTATGTAGTTCAGACTGAATTAACTGAAGGAGTTTAAATATAAACCCCTAAATCATTTAGGAATATCAATGCAGTGCTGTCTTGCAGGGGCTGTAATAAATTTAATCAAAGACAGTTGTTTTAATTAGGCTCTGCAATATTATTATTATGATTAGTAACCATTTTACATGTGCAAAATGGTGGTGGCCCTACTCCTGCCACAAAGATCCAGAACTCCAGCAGGTTCACACAGGGATCACATTGCAGGAGACGGATTTGCTTACTTGTCGTGTGGCAAGGTTTTGAATTCTAAGCCTTGGGAATGTATCCCCAGAGAATGTAGCATAATTTAAGGCCACAGATGTCACTTCCTTGTGGGATCCTTGGCAAACTGCAAAGTCTGATGAACCAGAAGGTCTAGAAACACATTTGTAAACTAAAATACTGTGAAGTTTTGGACATATTATAAATGAAAGAAACTGCATGGCTCATTGAGCAGTGGTGTTTCGAATAAGGCCAGAATGACCTGCCAATGATGTAATTCCAAAAACAGCAAGCATTATGTCATCTCTTTATGTCTGTAGAAGTCAATAAACTTCAATGGTTTAATAAGATTACATAGTTGTTTGGTTAAAACATCAAATAGTTACAACAACCCATATTTCTTTGGCTCCAAATAAAGCGTCATGTGCTATTTATTTCACATATGGCTGTAGGAAGCACCTTCCCACGCAGAGACCAATTTGTAAGATGGAGCGGCAAGGCAGAAGTGCCTTAGCGGACAGAACTTCCTTCACCTCTCCCGTTACTTGACTACAGCCAAAAAGAGATCTTGCAGAAACATCTGGAATACAATAGTCCCACTCCATAGCCACAGCTGGATAGAAAAGCACTAAACCCGGAAAAAAACAGAGGTAGCTTCTGACAGAATGATTGATGAACAGGTACGAGGTCGCGGTCAGTCATCTCACCTGCCTTTCCGTGAGATCCAGGTTTACGGCGATTTCGTACCGCCTCAGTCTGGTCAAATAGTTGTGATGGGCGAATTCTGCCTCCAGTTCTCGAATCTGCTCTTTGGTGAACGCCGTCCGCTCCTTCCTTGGCTTGCTGCTCACATCCGATTTGTAATTCCCATCTTGGGACTCTTAAAAGAAAAAGCAAGAACGGAAGAAACAATTTCCAACAGTCAGAAACGGTCGCAAAAACTTTTGAAGAGCAGCATCAACGTCACGTTCCACAACAAAACGCCCTTTGAAACCCAATTAGTGCAATCGTTCCAATTAAATACAATCACTGCAGGGTTGAAATCCCAGAAATGTCATAAAGGAAAGCAAAGGAATACTGCCAGTCATCTTTTACGATGCTGCAATTGTTCATGACAGCTGTTTATAAAAGTCAACCTCAGCCGTGAGTTTTCATAAACCGCTCTATAGATTTTCACAATGAGTTGGCGCTCACCAGAACACTTTCCAAAGACTTAATTCGCCTAACTGTTAATGGAATCCGCTACCCTTGTAGTTTTAATATGGAACAAAACAGTACTGGAGGATGTGTAAAAATATATTTCCTTAGTTTATTTACCTCAACATTTTACAAGCGTCTTCCACTCAAGCTGCCAACTCACAACAATTTTCAGTGGAGTGTTACTTATTCCCTCCCGCGCTCTTGTGCTGTCAATTACGGCGAATTGGCGAATTTCCTTACTTTCAGATGTTTTTTGGAGTGACAGAATATGAACGCATAAAAGCGCATGTATATACAATTACATGCGGTTATTGCTAGAGCTCAATTACGTCAAGTCTAATCTTGAATAGGAAACATTAAAGGTCAGTGAGGAAATGTCAGATTAGACCTGCAATCCATCCTACCAAAGACACATGCGCTTCTGTTGTTTTGACATTGGAGGAAGGAAATTTTATTCTTTTTTGAGAGACGTGTGCCTTCGTCTTGCTGTGACTCACTTTCAAAGGGCACATCAGGCTTTTGGGTTCATTTATCTTAGGGTGTGGAGTGGGTGCTAATCCAACTAGCAATCCAAAACCCAGCTGTAAATAGAGTCGGCTTTAATGAGACCCCATCCGCAAGTTGCTTTGCCATTTCAACAGAAATCAGCATGACATTTCAAATACATCCATTTTTTTATGTTTTTCCAATGGTAAAATACTTTGTAATATCCAATTTTAAAAGGAAAGTTCACCAAAAAATTACTATTCTGTTAAATGTACTCATTGTCATGGTGTTCCAAAACTGTATGACTTTCTTTCTTTAGTGGAGACAAAAAAGAAGATATTTTGAGAATGTCATTTATTTAATTATTTTGGACCCCACTGACTTTCATTGTACAGACAAAACAGTTAAAACATTGTTCAAAATATCTCCTTTATTGTTACACAGACAATAGAAACTAAATTAATAGATTTGTCTTTTTTGGGTGATCTATCTCTCTTAAACCGTTATCAAACGGATTTTCCCCAACAACCCCTCTCAACTGCTATTGGTCAGCCAAACAGATAGCCCCGCCCATAAACACCCGCTATTGGTTGAGTCACTGTTGCTGTGTCAGGCTGGTCGGATTTTCAAACAAACAGAACAATGTTTTGAAGGCAATTAGAAAGAACCTCACGTTTTCTCTGCATAAACTGAGAAAGGGAGAAGAATTATAAATACGATTTCAGTTTTAATACCCATCACCTTGAAGATCTCACTATAGGTGGATTTTCAAATGAAGTGTCAAATCGCTGCTGTCAGCTACATCATGGTGGCTATAAACACATGCCAGACGTGTTATTTAACAGTATAATTTACAGGTTGGGATTTGCAGAGGCTGACAAGGACGGAGAGTTTGTGCAATGATGATATTGTAGGCAGTTTAACATAGAAGTTGCACTCTATGGTGACTCTCCTTTGAACAAATAATCATCACGTGATTTCTAGCGACAAAATGGCGACTGTGACGGCCCTGACTGTACCCAGTTTTAGCTAAAATTTCTGTGAATTTGAGTCACAGAAAAGAGTTCGGCTGAATGTGGGTCTGATTAAAACAAGCGCAGAAAGGTTTACGTTAAAAACGTTTATTGCGGGCTAAACGCAGCCATTGTGGAGTGAGAAAAACCAACACGAGCAGCGTTTCACGAACAGAGCTGCTCTGAGTTAAAGCAACTTTTCCCGGCTTCCCGACACAGCGGTTACACCACAGCAATTAGGCCTGTGCCTTCACTTTTATCTCTTCTTTAAAAAAAGCAAAGTACTGGGAAAAAAGGAGCAGGATGGCCTGAGCTTTCAAAGATGATTTTAAAAACTACAGCTACAATGAAAATATAGACATCTACTTTAATATTCTAGTTATACGCACTGAAGCTGAGCTTTATTGGTGGAAAAAAAGAAACCAAAATGAATATCACTCAAACCCACATGACAAAATACACGCTAGGCTGCTGTCTTCCATCCAAACCAGGCATGTGCTGTTTTATTAGAACAGCCACATGTGCTTTGAATAAATCAAACAATATGTCTTAAGATGTCGACATTTTGATTATTAAATTATCCCTTGTTGCATTGAATGATGCTCATTATAAAATCATTCTATAAAGCAGAGACTTTTATTTTTTGTTACGCCATAGTTACTCTGAAATTAAGGCAACCATCAAGTTGTGTGACAGTTTACACTAATAGAAAGAATATTAAAACATTTGAATAATTTAATTTTTGAATTTAAATACATTTTAAAAACTATGATGCTCAAAATAGAACAACACTGTTCAAACCCACAAAACACATCTACGAGAATTACATCTGCAGAAATTCAATATATTTTTGAGCCAAAACAACCCTTAAAACAATATTAATTTGCTATAACATGGTTATTACTCTATATTTATTTGTAAATCTCACTTGCACTGTCAAAACTGTAATGTGTTTGATATCTTAGGAAAAACACATCTAACATCTTGTTTGTGTAATTCAAAAGTGTCACATGCTGAAAATTGAGACAGAATTTGACAGCTGAAGAATATACATAAAGAACATATTAATCAATTTATTTATATATATATATATATACACATATATATATATATACACATACATACACACACACCTATATCTATCTATCTATCTATCTATCTATCTATCTATATATATATATATATATATATACACATACATACACACACACATATATATATATATATATATATATATATAAATGCACATTTATATATATATATACATACATGTATATATATATATATATAAATGTGTATAAACTAGTGTGGAGTCATCTACTTTTGTTAGACCTTTCCAGCAGTGGAACAAATGTATTTATTTATATTATGTTAATTTTGGGTTGGCGCGAATGAGAATAAATCAACATCTGCAGGGCTGTGCCTTTTGTGTGGACCTGAACTTTGTTGTAAAGGGCAGAAAGTAGTTAAAATTCCCTTTGAAGTAACAATACTTTTTATGATCCATTTTATGCAGTGTTAAATTGATTTTTTAACAGTAGTAGCAACTATTCCAGACAAAACAAACTGAAGATGCCCATCAGATTGAACCAGCTTCTTTTGCAGTGAACCGAAAACTCTTCAGTTTACTTCATATCTCCCTGTCCGTTTTACTCATCAGCTAAACTAAAAATAAAGTAACAGTTTATTCCCATTCCGATTCCAATGTACAAACAAATTATATTCAAAGAGAAAGCTGCTCATAGCACTCCTGTCATCTAACGTTCGGCTTTTCGTGTTAAATGCCAACACAGGCGTTCCTGTTCTCTCTCTCAGGCCATGGCATTAGTTACTTAACCACAAGCGTTATTTTCTGCTTGCCAGAAAAGTGAGGAGATGAAACAGATGAGACTAAACGTGAATCATGCGTGCAGTTAAATGCCCACAGAAGAGTTACAATCTGCCTTATGCTAGCCAAAATAATTGCTTCTGTGCGTGTCAGCCAACACCTACAAAACTCTAGCGCGAAAAAACACGGCTCCACGTTTACGAACACTGCATTGGAGAATCTTTTCCGAAAACACTAGCACTGCACTCTCTGATAGTGAAGGCTTTTAAAATGCGCTATGACTTATTCAACTCTGTTTTCAGTTACAATAAAACAAACTTAGATGTTTTAAGAGAAACCTTTTGTGTTTAATGGGGACTAAAACAACTCGATGACAAAAGAAGTGATATTCCAGAAAACATTACAAAGAATTTATCATAAAGTATAATGTCATATGTTCTTGTGATATGCAAAAGAGAAAATATTAATTTTCCAAAAGAAAGTCAATTTTATTTATAATTTTTCTATAATTTATATATAATTTCTTGTATATAAATATCATATATAAATATAAATAATACATTTATAAGTATAGATATTTACATTTTTAATTTAAATAATTCTATCTATCTATCTATCTATCTATCTGTCTGTCTGTCTGTCTGTCTGTCTATCTATCTACACACACACCTACAACATATACATATAATTAGATTTGACAAATGTAATTTCAAACAATACGACACTCCATCATAATACTAACAATATTGCAAAAAAAATTGACATAAAAACTCAAGACTTTCTATGAAAAATTACTTGTTCAGATCAGATCCTTTGCTTTTAATCTAAGGATAAATTCGTTTAAAATAAAAATGAGCTTGTTTCTTACCAGAGCTGTCACTTCTTCGTTTGCTATTCCTTTTCTCCGCCTCGGCTGGAGACATCGTATGACGTCCGAAATCCCCTCCGGGAACACAGGAGGCACCTGAGGGCACCCCTCCTCCGAGGCTCGGTGTGCTTGCGCAGAGGCTGGGGCCCCCCGGGCCCATATTTGAAGATCCTGAATCAGGGGCAGAGATGCCCAGTCCTAGACGGGTGCTGGCTGGAAAGGCGCTGGCCGTCTGCGGTATGTGCCATCCAGTCTGCTGCGGTTGGGGTACATGATGATGATGCTGCTGGGACATGGGTGGCCCTCTCTGGTGCCCGTGTCCCCCAAACAGTCCCCCATCCTCACCTGGGTAACCGCTCACGATGCAGGTAGAAGAAGGAGAGGAGGTGGAGAGGTCAGAGTACGAGGAGAGGTGCTCGGAGCGTCCGTGAAGGGTGAAGGCGGGGTGCAGGGCCTGCGGAGGGGCGTGAGGGCTGCGCAAACAGCCGAACAGCGTGTGATCCATCGCATGCACCAAACCAGCCGCAAGTGGAACAAAAACCACAACAAGAAAACTTCCCAAACGGCAGAAACACAAAACACTCTGTTGCGTCTCACTTCAAACAGTGTCTCCTTAAAAAAAGACGAAAATGAAGGAAAAGGAAAAAGTGTGTCTGTACACGTGTGTGTGTGTGTGTGTGTGTGTGTGTGTGTGATAATCCCATGCACGTTGCGATCGAGAGTTGCCAGGCAGCGCAACTGATGATGATGAGAGCTGGATCTCAGTTGACAGTCTAGCGCAGACTGCGGCCCAGCTGAGAGGGAAAGGTGCTTCCTAACAGTGGCCGGGCTTTTGGGCAATGGGCTGGGACTGAAGGAGGGGTGGGAGATGTTATAAATAGGGCCGTAACATGAGAGGGAGGCTGGGTCACAGAACCCCGCCACAACTGTCCACTGAAGCGAGCCAGTCCAGCCCTGCAGCTCCATGCATCTAAAACATGACAGAAAATAACAGGCAGATTTTCAGTTCAGCCCTTTTTGTGATTTGTGTTCAAAAACATTACTTTTTCTTTTTCTCCCAAAAGACAAAAGGCAGATTGGTTGAGAAGGTCAGAGCAACTGAGAGGGGTTAAAAGTGTTAATGGGTTGTTGATCTTCAGCACTTTCTCCTCTGTTGTGAGGATGATTTAGAGGACAGGAGATCAGTGCTAGAAGCCACTAAGCTGTAGATCTTCTTCTATTGGAAGTTTGACTGTACAAATAGTGCTGTCATGCTTTTTGTGCAGTCCATCGACAAACCACCTACAACAATCACCAAGTTTAAATGCATTTTTTTTTTTTTTACATTTACTACTCATGTTTTTTTTTATAATACTAAAGTAGAAAATTTCCTACTTTATTAATTTCTGAATAATTATAACTAAATGTGATTGTTAATGTATTATTCAAAAGTCTGGGGTCGGTAAAATTTTTTAATGTTTTTGACTTTTTTAATGTTTTTTTTATGTTGTCTTATGCTCACCAAAATCTGCATTTATTTGATCAAAAATACAGTAAAACAACCATGTGAAATATTGTAACAAATTAAAATTATATATTTTAAACTGTGATGACAAAGTTGTGCTTCTTTATATTTCTGTGGAAACAGAAGATTTTTCTTGAATGAATAGAAAATTCAAAAACAGCATTAATTTGAAAATATCAATATTTTGTAACATTATAAATGCCTTTGCAATAACCTTTTATCAACTAAATGCAACCTTGCTGAATAAAAACATCTTTTATTCAGCATTATTAAAAAAAAAAACTCTTGCTTCAAACTGACACCAAACTTTAGAATAGTGTACACTGTAAAACAATATTTTTCAAAATTGTAAATAAAATAGATTATTGTAGAATATTTTACAAGAAAATAGTTTTTTCTTCTTTAATGTCATTTGTTACTTTGCCATTTTGTTTATGAAATTTACTAGCAATTTCTGAGTGAAAATAGTGTCTACACATACACACTATTCTACACACATACTATTATAAAACAACATTTAAATTATACATTTATACACACACACACACACACTTCTGAATAATTATAACTAAATGTGATTGTTAATGTATTATTCAAAAGTCTGGGGTCGGTAAAATTTTTTAATGTTTTTGACTTTTTTAATGTTTTTTTTATGTTGTCTTATGCTCACCAAAATCTGCATTTATTTGATCAAAAATACAGTAAAACAACCATGTGAAATATTGTAACAAATTAAAATTATATATTTTAAACTGTGATGACAAAGTTGTGCTTCTTTATATTTCTGTGGAAACAGAAGATTTTTCTTGAATGAATAGAAAATTCAAAAACAGCATTAATTTGAAAATATCAATATTTTGTAACATTATAAATGCCTTTGCAATAACCTTTTATCAACTAAATGCAACCTTGCTGAATAAAAACATCTTTTATTCAGCATTATTAAAAAAAAAAACTCTTGCTTCAAACTGACACCAAACTTTAGAATAGTGTACACTGTAAAACAATATTTTTCAAAATTGTAAATAAAATAGATTATTGTAGAATATTTTACAAGAAAATAGTTTTTTCTTCTTTAATGTCATTTGTTACTTTGCCATTTTGTTTATGAAATTTACTAGCAATTTCTGAGTGAAAATAGTGTCTACACATACACACTATTCTACACACATACTATTATAAAACAACATTTAAATTATACATTTATACACACACACACACACACATATATATATATATATATAGTATATATATATACAGTGTATAGTGTATATATTTAGGTAAAAAACGGCAGCTACATGCATAACAATTATATTAATTCGCTAAACTAGTTTAAAACGTATATATGTTCAAAATGTATAATGGTTTCATGTGCAGAGTATACACGCATGTAGACGTGTATACACACAAAGTACTTGTGCAGTATATAATCCAACAATATATACCATATAAATTTACCAACTTCTCACTAAAATGAAATAAAAGATTCTTTATGGAATTTACATTAGCTATAATATGCGGTCATGGTAGTGTATCATTGCTTTAATCAGAGTAACAGTGCTCATCGCGGCCCGCTCTGCTCCAGCAGAACTAACAGCATCGCCATTCAAGACGTCCCAAAGGTTTCACCCATAGAGACAGATGCGGTGCAACGGCACACAGAGCAGGGCCTTTCTCTGCTCACGGGTAAAAGAAGGAGAGGAAATCAGATGCCTTGTTGGGGGAAATGGCTTTAGCAGATGGGGAAAAGAGTGTGGAGTCAGGGCCTTATTTAGAGAGAGCGGAGAAGACGAGAGACGGTCATTCTCATCTCTCAAAGCACCATGTCCCACCGCCGACGTCTCGGGTGAGTAACACAAACTCTCTGTTTATCCTGCTTATTAGCCAAATTATCAGGATGGATCTGGATGCTGTTCACACAAGGTTTGTTTTCATAGGCGGTTTCTCTCTTTCGCTATCCGTCATGCCTTCTTGCTCACAGCGGTGCCCCGTGGCATGATTTACTGAGGCCTGATCGCATCTTTTTTTTTCACTTTTGAGGAGACAAATAGAAAAGAGTTGCATAGGAAGACACATAATAGAAGGAAAGAGAGAGGGAGCATGAGACAAAAAATCGAAGTCACATTACCAACAGTGCGATATGGTGAGTCTTCAAAGAGCAAATCAAACTTCAGCAGCTTCTGTGGGGAGAAAGAAAAACATAATATTAAAAATAAGTCCATTTGTACAGTTTAAACAACTTTTTTTCAAATTCTTGATCTGTAACATTCAATTTCAAAAGCCTTTGAACAAATTCTGAACAAAATATGAACTAAATAAACACAATTTATAAATATTCAAAATAAATGCTTTAGTATTCAGTAGTTCTCTGGGTTCTACTCTCTTCCTAAAGCACAAAAGTCAAATTAAATGCAGTTATAGAGAGAACACAGTTACATATAAAGTTATATGCAGTTATATGAAGAACAAACGCATTCAATATTTCTGCATCAAAACGCATGGAAAATATCAGCCTTAATCTAGATCTGCAATAATATAATGAATGATCTGCCTAATTTTATCATCACAAATATTTTAGGTTCAACTTTATATTAATGAATAAGGAAAAGTGAATCTTACGTCCAGTTAAAAAAAAAAAAAAAGTTACATATTTTAATCAACTTTTTGCCTTCATAAATTCATTTACAGAATATGTTCCTATAGTGCGACCAATTAATTTTTAAACAATTTTAGTCTTTCTAATTAATATAAAGCATAATAATTATATAATTATAATGCTTTAAACTTATGCTTTTATAATGCATAAAATAATTGCTTCTATAAATGCCTTTTTTAATAGTTGTAGTATTTCAACTACTATAATTTGACTACTTATACGCATTTTGAAAAATCTCCAGCACTACACAAATTACGCAAAAAATACAAGACAGAACACCAGCTTTACTGTGAAACATTTATCTCTGCAGTATAAAAGATAAAAGGATAAAAGATTTATCACTAAAGATTTACAAACAGCTGAAATGAAAGGACGTGTCTGCGTCTGTTCTACAAAAAGCACTGAAGAGTAACCAGAATTAAAAGCAGACTTTGAGAGCATGTAAATATCAGACGGAAAATAGTCATGGTTTGCTTGAACTATGGACTTTTTCAATTTCAATTGCCACCCATGTCTGCTGTCCATACGTTTCTGTTGTTGATGCTATTTAAAGTACTTGCACAAAACATCTGACAAGACAATAATCATATTTCTAAACTGCACAGTGACATCCTTCTTCTATACATACACGCATTAAATTGTCATACTGTGAAACAAACCCTGAACTCTTAAAAATTATTTTTCAGTTGCATTCTTCTGGCTCTCATAAGTGTTGCATTTTCTGTTGATATAAAAAGTTAAAAAATACTGATTCATGTTTATCTCAGTCTGGAGTGCAAACAATAGCATGTAATTCATTACATTTATATTTAACAAACATTTGCCAACTGTAAATTCCACTGAATAAGATGTGCAGCAGTACAATGCAAATAGCTTAGAGATGGAATTGATTTTGTGGATACACAGTTATAGTGCCATTGCGCTCTGAAATATTTGATGTGCTGTCAAATTCTCAAAAACATCTGTTGGACAGTTTTGCCACACTGACATGATTCTCATAATCACTCAGTCCCGATAGAGTTTCACAAAGACGTCTGTCCTCTATCAATTAAAGACAAGTGTTTGCTAGGATGTTGTCCAGTTAAAATGTTTTATTCTCCAGTTTATTTCTTTTTTTTTCTTTTGGTATTTAAAATTCAACTTGAAATGATTTTGAACTAAATTAAAATTCCAAGTAAATAAATAAATGAATGAATGTACTTTTGTACCCCTACCTTTGTTGAAAATCATATAAATATTTTTTATTTAATTAAATTTGAATTCAAATATCTTGTTTTTATAAATATTTCTATTGAAATTGACCTAAATAAATAATCTGAGATTATAAATGCTATGTTCAGTTGCTTTCTGTGCTTCTCTAAAGTGTCCTTAAGCACAACAAAAACTTATGAGAAAAAAAAAGATGGTACTTTTGTACCCCTAGCTTTTGTTGAAATGGAAAATGGAATTTAAATATCCTTTTCTAATAAATAAATATAAATAAATAAAATTTACTTTTGTACCCCTACCTTTGTTGAAAATCATATGATATTATTTCTGATTTTATTTAATTACATTTGAATTTGAACATCTTATTTTTTAATAAATATTTTTATTTAAAACAAAACAAACAAATAATCTGAGATTATAAATGCAATATTCAGTTGTTTTCTGTGCCTCTCTAAAATCTCTTAGAGAAATAAAAATATGGTACTTTTGTACTCCTAGCATTTGTTGAAAATCATACAAATATATCTGATATCCTTTTCTAATAAATGAATAAATAAATAACATCTTTAAGATGTTCTTGAGTGCAGTGCTCTAAAAAAATGGTACTTTTATAACTAGCTTTTGTTGACAATCATACAGATATATATTTTTTTGATTACATTTTAATTCAAATATCTTATTTATAAATGTTAATTTAATTTAATATAAGTGTAACAAAACCTTAACTCACTGAATTAGCTGTTAAATGAACAACTGGCCTTTATAAATAGCAGAGGAAGTAGTGTGTGTGTTTATCTAATAGATGTACCGATGCACAAGTTGCTCTAGTTCACCACACACACACACACACACACACACACACACACAATAGGGATGCACGCTGATGTTGTCTACTAAACCAACCCAGCAGCCACGGATTCCACTGCAGCATTATGAATGTGTCCTCAGAGATGATCTGGGAGGTGTGCTTTACACACTGACTGAACGCAGTAAAAAGACTCCATGCTATTCCTTGTGTTGGTGGTACAATTTGTGTCTAATAAATCATGAAAGTATTTGACTGTAAGTCCGACTATCTCTGCTGTTTGTCACACGCTCCAATTAATTTTGTCGCGCCCACCGGCTTCTCCGGCCACAAATGATTTTGTAACAGCCAAATACATCACTAAAAGTCTTTTGTACCCCCCGGTCCACCACAATGTTTTAATAAATCCTTTCATTTCAAAAAGTGAAGTCAACATTTTATGATTTAATGGCTTCCTCGCTGTTGGTGCCTATGACGAAGGCCAAATCCCAGAGTGCTGGAGACTCCCTGTGCTTAATAGGGGGCTTGGGAGGTTTCTTCCTATAGCGAACTAATGGATTCTCAATGTGAGGATTGGACTTCATCAGGAAAAACCCACATGTGATGTTGGACTCTCTCTTTATACGCTATTCCAAGGTTTAAGTGCCATTCAAGTTGAAGTATGATGGCCATTAATCTATAGCTTTTGTCCTTAGTTTCTCATCAACCAGTAATAATTAGTCAGACTGTGTTTAACATGTAAATGGCCTTGCTGACCTCTACTGGTGTGTTATTGGTGTGAACTGCCCGGTTACACTCATCGAGCTGATACAGCAGCCAGATTTTATTAAAGCATCCAATAGTCTAAGAATACTGAAAATCTGAGGGTTTTTTTTTTTTCATTTAAAGCTGGAAATATCATTTCATTTTATTTATTCTGAGACATTTCAATACAAAAAAATATTTTTATAATTATTTTTTATATATTATTTACATTTTTTAAGTTTCTGCACTATTTTTAGGTCACTAATCAAATATGCTGCTCATTAAAAAAGGGTGCATATAGGTTAAGTTGTAATTTTTGCTCAAACTGCTATGCAGATTTGTGTGAGAAATATTAGTTTTTAAAATAATGCAAACAAAATATTTTTTTGTGGCTTTAGACATTGTACCCCAAACCTTTAAATACAAAATATTGACAAATTACATGACATAATCATAATACTTCAACCCACATTTAAATGATTATTTATAATAATTATAATAAAATATAATTGATATTAAATATTTCATTACTCATAGTCATAATAATTAATTCAGTATTTAATTATTCAATTCGATGATATTTTATTATATTTAAATTGTTAATAAAATAGTTTTTAATAACAAAATTCTATTTTATTATTTTAATTAAAATAATATAGTGCCTCGCACATCCAAATCATTCGTAGGTGTATGGGATAAAAGTAGAATATAAAGTAAAAAATATATATAAATCCCGCACACTACTCAAACTTCAATGATCACAAAAAGTTTTTTCCCCTCTTTTTATACTGAAAAATATAATAACAATAATAGATACTTTTTGTGATGATGTAAGTATCAGTGGTGCGCAGATTTTTTATATTAAATTAAATTCTAAAAAAAAAAATTTAAGTTTATGAAATGTAATAATATTAAATATTACAGTTAAATTAATTATTTAATTAAAAATTTAATTTTCTATCAATAGATCATATAATCTCATCTCCTTTTGATAATTTTATGTTTATTTGATCAATTATTTATTTTTTATAATTTTTTTTTTATTATTACTTTTTTCTGTTGTCAGCAACTGTTTTATATTTAAGAGACATTAAATAAAAAATATAAAAAAATACTGTGATATAAATTGACAGCATAATTATGTTTGTCCACAGTGGCGGATACGCTACCACTAAACGCCTCTTTGGTACGGCAAACATAATTTCCATTAAACAGACGCGCATCACCCGTCAAGACAGAGCCAAGCTAAAATAGCAGGTTAACCTCCTTATTCTGTCAGTCATACTGTGATCCAGCCCAGCAGAACTCACTGACCCATGCATATTTTGTCCTCACTGGGGTCAAACACACACACGCACACACAGGAGTTCTCAAGGGAGGCATTACTCTGGCTGTTCTTGCCTGAGAGTGGGAAGTGGAGCTCTTGAGCATTTCCCCATTTTTCTGCAGGACAATCCCATCATCCTCTAATCAAGCCTGCTGTTTAATAGCCAACTCTAACTCAATCCCATCTCCATCCTCGAGCAAGGGTCGTGACGCAGGCTCGGGACAATAGAAGGATATTGAAACACTTCGGCATCCACTTGAAAGTTCCGATCGCTCCTGCCAGATCAGTCAGCGCTGGACTTGTGTCTCCTCAGACGGCGTTCTGCAAAGACATGTCAAAGTGTGTTGGCAAATGTGTACCTGCTTAAGAATAGGTCACTTAAAAATACTGAAAAAAAAAAACTATTTACTCACCCTCATCCAAACCTGTATGGCATAAA